GGCCCGTAGACACCAATAGCTGCACCTTGCCAACATGCACGGTCCGCCAGAATCATGCTTATAAGTTTATAAAACTGATTCAGAGTCGTCCAGGTGAGGTGCGTGCAGATCGCCTCTCGAGAGTTGGCTCTACCAATACCAAAAAGATGCTAAAATGCTGACCCGGTCCTGCATTGCATCTCGCTTGGGGGAAGCCCTGCATAAACCAAAGCCATCTGTGTGCTCATTTCACCGTGTTGGCTTGACGGATACAGGTCAGAGCTCGGAGACTCCCGCCAGCCCGCCAGATTCCGCACCCGGCTCCAACTGGCTTTGGTTGGTGCACTTCCCAGATCCGTTTGAGGAAAGAACGCGCCCGAGCTCTTGCAACTGCCAAACTTCCACTGCTTTTGACACGTGTCATGTTTCAAAGCATTGATTGATCATGGCCTGATCTGCTTATAGAGTCCATCGTAGAGGTCTTCTCGAATAGGCTTAACCTGCAAAGTATCCCGCGCCATGCCGCCCGCGGTCTTTCTTTCCCTCTTTCCCACGTTCCCTCCGTCCCTCTTCCCTCCATCTCCCCCACCAAAGCGCCTTCCGGAATGCTTTGTCCCGGCCAAGCTCGCGCAGGCGCAAGGACAGGTGCGCCCACGTGGTGTAGCCTTCCAGTCGCAAGGTCACAGTCAATTCATCCGAGGCGAGCGGGGTCCGGCCTTTTGAGTCGCGGTTTGCCCGAGTATGGGTGTCTTTTTAAAGGTACACCTTTTTGGGTGTTGCTTTTTGTTTTTGTTTTTCCTGGGAACCCAACAGACAAACCACCTCTTTTTTTGGATTGGGGGTCCGTAAACAAAGACGCACCCATATGTGGTTGGTTTTCTGGGACCGTTTTGCATGTTGGGACCCCAACTCCTCACACATACCGTCGCATACCCATTTGTTTAACAGAACGTTTGGCACAGTGCCACTCGACGATCTTCTTCTAATTCATGCTCTGCGCAGAGCCTGTCGCTGTGAAAGCAGTCAACCATGAAGCATCCAGGACGTTGAAAGCGAACTCACGTGCAAGCCCAACATTCCAAGGCGTCTCAGACTTATCTTGCAGCTTACCTCCTGAACCCTGAAGTCTCTGCATTCCCCCAGCTGAGTTAGCCAGCACAGAAGGGCAAAGGAAGAAGCCACATTGGACATGCACGGGAACCAAACAAAATCCTCACTGGTAGGTCCCCTTCAGTGAGTCTTCATGTAGTGGCTTGTCTCGAAGTCACGACATTGGAGCCATGTTGAGTTGTTGAGTTTCCCCACTAGAAATGCCATACAATCCGCATAACGAGCCTCGCCGTGTATGAACTGTCCATGCATAAACGCTTTTGTGGATCCTGAGACGGCAGCTGATTCCTTCCCAATGAATATTTCTCTTGGTATCCCGGAATCGAGAATCTGAACCAGGGAACCCATCATATGAACGTCGATTTTTGGCATGGCACAACTTCCCATAACTTGAGAGAAATGGCCCAAAGCAGCTTCGCTCTGGGCCCAAAACGCTCTGCATGCGCCGCATACCGGATCTTGTGAAAGACCTCGAAAGTGCTCACTGCTCTGATGGATCGGAATCCAGTGGGGGATTTTGGAGCAAGCCAAATGAGCTGCACCAAATAAGACAAGCTTCAGCAAGGTGTCGATCTGCACGAGTTTTCCCAGACAGAGTCAGTTGGGGTCAATTTACTCATGAACCTCAAAACCAGCAAGCGACCAAACAGCAGCTCCTTACCCATACGTACCAGGTTCAGAGCTGCTTAAATTCGAATTGGTGAGGGCTCAAATGGGAATGTAGCTTGAGCTTCACACATCCACTGATCCCGGGTAGGCTAAAAGAGCTAGAAGCCATCACTCCGTCAAGGTCATGAACACAGTAATCCTTGCCTCCCAGCGAACCAGATCTTTTCACCTCAAACATTGTCACAAGCCCCTGACAATATCATCTACTCCTTCCCCAAAAGGTACACACACGAGCTATCTTGAAGTCTTGGCCCAAATGTCGTCCAACGACAGGCACACTAGCAATACCCTTTAGTCCAGTATAGCCATACTTCCTGGGCAATAATCCTCACACTCACCACTGGCTTCATCGATCTCACCCCGGCTGTACCCAAAATGGAATCCTGGTGAATGGAATGGACCAAAACCTGCGGTCCGATTGGTTTGATTTTGGACTTCCCATACCCGCCTCCCCCGGCTCCAACCAGAAACCTTGGACTTCTACCGATTCCATGGCCCCCGCCTTCTTGAAGACCAGCTGCGCCTGTGAACGACCGCCGAAGAAAGATTAAAAAGACGCGAAACGGGACACCAAGTCCAACGGGGGCCGTGCGTTCCGGTTCCACCCCCCAAACACTAGGGTGGGGCCACCCAGTGGTTTAAACATTTGAAAAACCAGTGGTTATGATGATTCTTCCCTTGAAAAGGTGGTGCTTAAACCATATTTTGCCCCAGCCAAACACCCAAACAACACTGGACCCTCCTCAAAATCGATCCTATGGATTTCATGTTTTTTTGCGACAGGGCAAAAACAAGCTCGCTGAGTCCACGAAAGTCCAGCGGGGCCCTGCCGTTTGGGAAATCAAAATGACTTGCTTCCCCACAATCAGTTGCAGTCCAACCCCAAATAAAACGAACCGGGAGTCTTTTTGGTGGACTTCCTGTCGGGATAAGGCGAGAAAACACCACCAGTTGCACTTCTGGCTGGCATGCGCAAGGAGCACTCACAAACATGCGAAAGGAACGTATGCAAAGCCGAAAAAGAAAGAATAACCACCAAGTCTCTCAATTGTGCATTCCCGAAAACGACACGAAGAAACAAAACCAGGGAAAAGGGACACATCGGTGCGGCTTTTCTCGAAGAGAGCCAAATTGTTTTTTGTTGTTTTTGTTAGCCACGGAAACCGAAGCTCGTTGTGAGCCATGAGAGGAAGGTCGAAATAAGATCCGGGCCTCGGAGATGCAGGAGACGCAAGCGCTGTTCGCTGTGAGGAAGTCTTGCAGGCCGAGGAACCAGCCCCTGCGGATCGGTAGACTCTCTGGAGGAGAAGCTGGTCTACTTGTAGCTGGTTCTTTTGGTACTTGGAAGATCAATTTCCTCCTGGAGGGTCCCCCTGTCAGGTGCAATGTTAGCGGGAGGAAGGGTCAGCTCACCTGCAAATATATTTGCTAGTCTTAGTCTGCAGCTGGCTTCCCAGGGTCTTCCTCTTATCAAGTTGGCTCAAAGGCATCGCATCATGCCTAAGAAAACCTCCGGCCAACGGCGGACAGCAGCAGTTTGGGAAACCAACTGCAAGGGAGTTCAGGTGCGAGGAAAAAGCCAGACAAGGGGTCGTGAAAACTTCTTGCTTTGCCGAATAGCCTCTCGAACCTCATCTTGGGGCTCGACAGCCCAAAATCGCCTCTAAATCAACAGCCCGTGCAATCTTACCCTTCATAACTACTACTTATCATTGATCTTCTCAATTCCAACCTTGCAACCTACCCTCCCTACCGAATCTCTCGATGCCTGCTGACCCAGGCGGTGTTTGACAAATATCTTCCAACAGGCACACCACCGGACCTTGCTGGGGCAGAAACACCAATGTGGGTGATATCAAAACAGGGGACCCCTTGTTGGCTTGTTTTTCTGGGAGGAAACCACCTGGAGGAAATGGTTCGCCATGGAGAAAACACCTTCGAGGCTTTGGCCCCCGGCTCCAGGTGCGAGGGCAGCACCGCCAGGTCCAGCCTCAAACTGATTTGGATCGGTTCATGTGCAAAGGGGTGGCTTCCCATTTACCATCTGCAAGAACCATGGCTTCAAGTACCCAAACAACCAATCTAAACCGCCAACTAAGGGTTACCTCCACCTGTTGCCGTGCTTCGCCCTGCCCTAAAGAACAAATAGAAACCCAAGGCGACTTGGGGAAGGTGGCTCGGCACCCGCGTACCAAGGAAGTGTTACATTGACCGCTTGCTCTCATTAGGCACGCGAGACGCAGGTGATGCTAGGAAAAGCCATTTGTTGAGGGGTGAACCCCCAACTCTAGACGGTTTTCATGTTGGACAATTGTTGGGTAAACATGTGGCACACTCTAGTGCAAAAATAGCTCGATTTCGAGTGTTGAAGGTCGATAAAATACTGGTGGGGGTTGCGTCCCTTCTCTTTGGTAGGATGTGGTGTCAACCCCAAAAACAAAACGGCCAGGATTTGCCACCTTCCCGACCAGCCAGAGTTAACCTGCCACGCGGGGAACTAGGAATCCGCAACTTCAGGCCCAGTGGGGCCCAACAGAAGCTTCGCCAAGCATCCGGGCGTGCGGTCAGGAAAAAGGATGCTGAAGCAGCACCAAACTGGATCCTGCGATCAAGTGTTCAGCAGTGCGCGGACCCAATTCCCCGAGCAAAATGAAAACCACAAAGCGCAACAAAACAGAAGCTTTGGCACTGGCACGTCAAAGAAACCTCTTATGACATAGTTGCAAAGGAAGCTACTCCTCCCCCCCCCGGGCCCTCCAAGCTCCCAGCAAGAGAAGAGCGAACACCCTGGCTATTCAGAACTGCCCTGCTCAGCTTGGAATTTTCACATGCGGTCCTTTGTGCACTTCCCTTCACCTCACTTGCTGCGGGTACTGACTGCCGTGGTCAAAGCCCTCGAATTCAGCGGCATGGCCACAGCTCCATGTTGACCAACCCAAGCAAGTGCGCCTTTGGACAACGTGCTTGCCCAAAACATACCTTCGCGGGATCCGCCGAGCTTTTGGAAAAAAACCTTTGGTGGAGCTTGATGTTGCATTTGGCCAACAATGTGACATCTCGCCAGGGACTTGAAATTCAAACAGCAAAGTTCCGTCAGCCGTCTGAATGCAAAACCCTCGTCATAAACCGACCATTCCAAACAGAAGGCCCAAGGAAATCAGCCTCCGGCCAGAAGCCAAAACCTGGCCACTGCCCTTTGCTCGGACTCCTTTCAAACGCGACCGAAGCTGTCGCCTTCCCGCCTCCAGGCTGGCGCAGCGCTGGAAGGTCGTGGTCATGGGCCCGAAGATGATGCCCACGCCTTGATCGGCATGGTGGCATGGTGCGACCGCGCGACCGCGCGGTGCCAACAAAGACTTCAATCTTCAGCCCGAAACCTAAAACTTGCTTTGCTTGTTGTTGTTTTTTTCATTTCGGCCCCTTGGTCCTTAACACCACACCCCCATTGTGAGAAACTCCCAATTGAATATGGTCTACATCTTTCAGTCAACGGCAAAGATACGCAAGATGCTACCAAACGTCACCCCATCCGGACAATCAGGGCATGGGCCTGTCAAAAGGGGGGATATGTTGAACAGCCATGAGCACTGGCACTGTCAAATACACAAACTCTGGTCCTGTTTATATAATCTGAAATAGCCAGGAGTGAACATGTCATTCAGTGTTAAAATTGCGGACCCTATATTTGCTTGTCAACCTGTAAAAATGAGGGATGACACTGTTCGGTTGACGCAGCACATCCCAAAAGTGTTCGCAACATCACTGAAAGGTCTAGGGGAATCGGGATGAAACTGCTTGGAGGACACACCTGGAGGAGAATTGTGGAATCGTCAGATTCCTAGATTCATAAAACGGCTGGATTCATTGCAGCGCACTTTCAAGCAAAGGATCCCTTCTGCCGTGCTTTGTTTGGCCTATGTTGAGGGTGCTGCCCACTTGCTACCTCCGGAGTTCACCCCTCACTTTTCCGGGCATTCAAAGCTTGATCAGCAAAAAGAGTTGCGTCAACTCCAGGTCGAACAAAAAGGAAATGTCTGTGTGCTTTTGAGGGGGCTCCAAGACTTGCGGCTTTCCGCAAAAGATTTCCCGCCAAGAACGAGTTGCCCGCAAAAAAAAGAAGGCGACGAGCCATCCAAGATGATCCGAGGCCCGGACCCCGTTTTCGACGGCTCAGTCACGAGCCCCCCGGCTGTCGCGGAGGCTCATGCTCTGCGGCTCCTCGCCCTTGGCCTTGGCCCAGCACAGCTCCACCTGGACGCGGAGGTACAAAGCCTCCACTCAGTCTAGGTGTCAGTCTATTAGGTGTTCCCTCCCAGAGTCATTCCTTTCTAGGGGACACTAATCCAGGGGTTCATGAATCCAGGAGAGGGTCCCTAAAAAAAGGAAAATCCTCAACCTCGAGGCTTCAGGTTCCATGGCAACGGACGGACATACAACTTGGCAAGGTCCATGCTCTCAGTAAGTTCGACATCTTAGTAGGAGCTGCAAAGAAAACATCGACCGGGTTGGCAGTGTAGAGCAAAGACAATCAGGTGGCAACAACCCTGCAACCAGCCTGACTACAGAACCTTTTCAAGTTATTCCAAGCCCGACAGCAGCCAGCCCACCGTACACCAACCCGATTTCAACCGACAAACCCACCTTGACACAGCCCCTATCAGCTACCATAAGCCAACTCCAGGAAACCAACGCCCATCCCAACAAAGCCTCGAGCCAACAGCCGCCTGGCACCGAGCTTAGAACCTGTCGTTGCGACATACCAACCAGACTAGGTCCAAATGATGCCACGATCCATTGCTCAAGACATCAGCAGCTTGACGACCCCTTCTCAGATTGCTTCTGACATTCTGACTGCAATATATGCCAATAACTATTGTGAAGCATATGCTCAAGCACGGTCATGGGGATACAATAGAAAACCATCAGTGGGTTGGAGTTCTGCCAGTGAGCTCCTGAAAGGAAGGACTGAAGGTGCAGATCAGGAATTCCTAGCGCTTCCGCCGCTTCCACCTTCAAGGACTTTTTATTGTTCAGCTTCCCAATTGGTGGTTTGGAGTCCAGCCTGTGAAAAAAGATACCTTGTTTTGGCCGAGCAAACACCACAAGTGTTCAGTTCAAGCATGTCGTGCCTTGTTTCTCTATCGGATCTATCCGTCTGCTGACCTGATCCGCATTCCCATGACGAGAACTCCCACGACCTGCGTGCCTTCTGCAGGTCCACCCAAAAGTGCCGCCGCATACGCTTCGAGTTGCTGTAGTTGTACCTCATGTCTGCTGTATGAGCTGCACGACCAAATTGCCAGTTCACCAAAATATAGTGTTCACTGAATCAGGCCAGAACGCACCAACCGTCAACGGAAATCCTGAAACTAGTCCTAGAACGAACCCCGAGAGTTCGATGTGTCGATTAGCGAAACTCTTGCATTGCCACCGCGGCAAGTAAGGCGTGCGAGCCCTTCCCCAACCTTCCACAAAAATCATCCCATTGCACAAATCGTGCAATCAAAACTGACCAGGCATCCCTGATATAACCAACCATACCTTCCGCGGCATCTTCTTGCGCTGGGGCCGTCAACGTTTGAAGCACACTGCTCATTCAAAGCCTGCCGTACTGCCTCAGGGTGTCCCGTTAGTGTTGTCAGCGAGCCTTGTGGCCTCAGCGAAAATGGATGGCGTGACACTTCAGTACCTTCATCACTGGGAGCAGTCGTCCAACAACCAGCCGCAACAATCAAGACATGCGAGCATCCATCGCCATGCGAACACCTTCTCTCATCGCACAAAAGCTTGCAAGCATAAGTCCTGAAACGTCGGCATGCATTCACATTCAGCATTTCAACACCAAACAAACCAAGCCTTGCTCAACCATCCATGCCTGTTGTGGCATCCTCTTATCTTCTTGCTTTCAACTTTCAAGCGCTATCTTGTATCATGTCTTCTCTATTTCCTGTCATGCTGCCTCAGGGTGTCCCGTTAGTGTTGTCAGCGAGCCTTGTGGCCTCAGCGAAAATGGATGGCGTGACACTTCAGTACCTTCATCACTGAAAGCAGTCGTCCAACAACCAGCCGCAACGATCAAGCCCTGGTATCCATCGCCATGCGAACACCTTCATCTTTCTTGCACAAAAGCTTGCAAGCATAAGTCCTGAAACGTTGGCATGCATTCATATTCAGCCATTCAACACCGAACAAAGCAAGCCTTGCTCGACCAGCCATGCCTGTTGTGATCTTCTTGCTTTCAACTTTCAAACGCTATCTTGTATCGTGTCTTCTCTATTTCCTGTCATGCTGCCTCAGGGTGTCCCGTTAGTGTTGTCAGCGAGCCTCCTTGTGGCCTCAGCGAAAATGGATGGCGTGACACTTCAGTACCTTCATCTCTGGGAGCAGTCGTCCAACAACCAGCCGCAACAATCAAGACATGTTGGTATCCATCGCCATGCGAACACCTTCTCTCATTGCACAAAAGCTTGCAAGCATAAGTCCTGAAACGTCGGCATGCATTCATATTCAGCCATTCAACACCAAACAAACCAAGCCTTGCTTGACCATCCATGCCTGTTGTGGCATCCTCTTATCTTCTTGCTTTCAACTTTCAAGCGCTATCTTGTATCATGTCTTCTCTATTTCCTGTCATGCTGCCTCAGGGTGTCCCGTTAGTGTTGTCAGCGAGCCTTGTGGCCTCAGCGAAAATGGATGGCGTGACACTTCAGTACCTTCATCACTGGGAGCAGTCGTCCAACAACCAGCCGCAACAATCAAGACATGCGAGCATCCATCGCCATGCGAACACCTTCATCTTTCTTGCACAAAAGCTTGCAAGCATAAGTCCTGAAACGTCGGCATGCATTCATATTCAGCCATTCAACACCGAACAAAGCAAGCCTTGCTCGACCAGCCATGCCTGTTGTGGCATCCTCTTATCTTCTTGCTTTCAACTTTCAAGCGCTATCTTGTATCATGTCTTCTCTATTTCCTGTCATGCTGCCTCAGGGTGTCCCGTTAGTGTTGTCAGCGAGCCTTGTGGCCTCAGCGAAAATGGATGGCGTGACACTTCAGTACCTTCATCACTGGGAGCAGTCGTCCAACAACCAGCCGCAACAATCAAGACATGCGAGCATCCATCGCCATGCGAACACCTTCATCTTTCTTGCATAAAAGCTTGCAAGCATAAGTGCTGAAACGTCGGCATGCATTCATATTCAGCCATTCAACACCAAACAAACCAAGCCTTGCTTGACCATCCATGCCTGTTGTGGCATCCTCTTATCTTCTTGCTTTCAACTTTCAAGCACTATCTTGTATCATGTCTTCTCTATTTCCTGTCATGCTGCCTCAGGGTGTCCCGTTAGTGTTGTCAGCGAGCCTTGTGGCCTCAGCGAAAATGGATGGCGTGACACTTCAGTACCTTCATCACTGAAAGCAGTCGTCCAACAACCAGCCGCAACGATCAAGCCATGCTGGTATCCATCGCCATGCGAGCACCTTCATCTTTCTTGCACAAAAACTTGCAAACATAAGTCCTGGAACGCTGAAATGCAACACCAAACAAACCAAGCCTTGCTCGACCAGCCATGCCTGTTGTGAGCTTCTTGCTTTCAACTTTCAATCGCTATCTTGTATCGTGTCTTCTCTATTTCCTGTCATGCTGCCTCAGGGTGTCCCGTTAGTGTTGTCAGCGAGCCTTGTGGCCTCAGCGAAAATGGATGGCGTGACACTTCAGTACCTTCATCACTGGGAGCAGTCGTCCAACAACCAGCCGCAACAATCAAGACATGCGAGCATCGATCACCATGCGAACACCTTCTCTCATTGCACAAAAGCTTGCAAGCAAAAGTCCTGAAACGTCGGCATACATTCATATTCAGCCATTCAACACCAAACAAACCAAGCCTTGCTTGACCATCCATGCCTGTTGTGGCATCCTCTTATCTTCCTGCTTTCAACTTTCAAGCGCTATCTTGTATCATGTCTTCTTTATTTCCTGTCATGCTGCCTCAGGGTGTCCCGTTAGTGTTGTCAGCGAGCCTTGTGGCCTCAGCGAAAATGGATGGCGTGACACTTCAATACCTTCATCACTGAAAGCAGTCGTCCAACAACCAGCCGCAACGATCAAGCCATGCTGGTATCCATCGCCATGCGAGCACCTTCATCTTTCTTGCACAAAAACTTGCAAACATAAGTCCTGGAACGCTGAAATGCAACACCAAACAAACCAAGCCTTGCTCGACCAGCCATGCCTGTTGTGATCTTCTTGCTTTCAACTTTCAAGCGCTATCTTGTATCGTGTCTTCTCTATTTCCTGTCATGCTGCCTCAGGGTGTCCCGTTAGTGTTGTCAGCGAGCCTTGTGGCCTCAGCGAAAATGGATGGCGTGACACTTCAGTATCTTCATCACTGGGAGCAGTCGTCCAACAACCAGCCGCAACAATCAAGACATGCGAGCATCGATCACCATGCGAACACCTTCTCTCATTGCACAAAAGCTTGCAAGCATAAGTCCTGAAACGTCGGCATACATTCATATTCAGCCATTCAACACCAAACAAACCAAGCCTTGCTTGACCATCCATGCCTGTTGTGGCATCCTCTTATCTTCCTGCTTTCAACTTTCAAGCGCTATCTTGTATCATGTCTTCTTTATTTCCTGTCATGCTGCCTCAGGGTGTCCCGTTAGTGTTGTCAGCGAGCCTTGTGGCCTCAGCGAAAATGGATGGCGTGACACTTCAGTACCTTCATCACTGGGAGCAGTCGTCCAACAACCAGCCGCAACAATCAAGACATGCGAGCATTCATCGCCATGCGAACACCTTCTCTCATTGCACAAAAGCTTGCAAACATAAGTATATACTGGAACGTTGAATTGCACACATGTTCAGCCATTCAACACCAAGTTGCTCGACCTGCCATGCCTGCTGTGGCATCCTCTTGTCTTCTAGCGTTCAACTTTACAAGCACTATCTTGTATCATGTCTTCTACAGTATATGTCCTGTCATGCTGCCTCAGGGTGTCCCGTTAGTGTTGTCAGCGAGCCTTGTGGCCTCAGCGAAAATGGATGGCGTGACACTTCAGTACCTTCATCACTGAAAGCAGTCGTCTCACAACCAGCCGCAACGATCAAGCCATGCTGGTATCCATCGCCATGCGAACACCTTCATCTTTCTTGCACAAAAGCTTGCATGCATAAGTCCTGAAACGTCGGCATGCATTCATATTCAGCCATTCAACACCAAACAAAGCAAGCCTTACTCGACCAGCCATGCCTGTTGTGGCATCCTCTTATCTTCCTGCTTTCAACTTTCAAGCACTATCTTGTATCATGTCTTCTCTATTTCCTGTCATGCTGCCTCAGGGTGTCCCGTTAGTGTTGTCAGCGAGCCTTGTGGCCTCAGCGAAAATGGATGGCGTGACACTTCAGTACCTTCATCACTGGGAGCAGTCGTCCAACAACCAGCCGCAAAAATCAAGACATGCGAGCATCCATCGCTATGCGAACGCCTTCATCTTTCTTGCAGAAAAGCTTCCAAACATAAGTTCTGGAACGTTGAAATGCATTCAGATTCAGCTGTGCAACACCAAACAAATCAAGCCTTGCACGACCAGCCGTGCCTGCTGTGGCATCCTCTTATCTTTCTGCTTTCAGCTGCCTCAGGGTGTCCCGTTAGTGTTGTCAGCGAGCCTTGTGGCCTCAGCGAAAATGGATGGCGTGACACTTCAGTACCTTCATCACTGGAAGCAGTCATCCAACAAGCAGCCTCAGCGATCAAGCCATCGCCATGCGAACACCTTCTCTCATTGCACAAAAGCTTGCAAGCGTAAGTCCTGAAACGTTGGAATGCATGCATATTCAACCATTCAACAGCAAACAAACCAAGCCTTGCTCGACCATCCATGCCTGTTGTGGCATCCTCTTATCTTCTTGCTTTCAACTTTCAAGCGCTATCTTGTATCATGTCTTCTCTATTTCCTGTCATCCTGCCTCAGGGTGTCCCGTTAGTGTTGTCAGCGAGCCTTGAGGCCTCAGCGAAAATGGATGGCGTGACACTTCAGTACCTTCATCACTGAAAGCAGTCGTCTCACAACCAGCCGCAACGATCAAGCCATGCGAGCACCCATCGCCATGCGAACACCTTCTCTCATTGCACAAAAGCTTGCAAACATAAGTCCTGGAACGTTAGCCATTCATTATCAAACAAATCCGGCCTTGCTCGACCCGCCATCCCTGTTGTGGCATCATCTTATCTTCTTGCATTCAACTTTCAAAAGCACGATCTTGTATCATGTCTTCTCTGTTTCTTGGCATGCTGCCTCAGGGTGTCCCGTTAGTGTTGTCAGCGAGCCTTGTGGCCTCAGCGAAAATGGATGGCGTGACACTTCAGTACCTTCATCACTGGAAGCAGTTGTCCAACAACTAGCCACACCAATCAAGCGATGCGAGTGGTGGTTTGTCTTCCCTTCAAATTTGAATTGACGTATCAAACCTTTCTGCGAAACCTGCCGCGAAGCTTCTGCGGTGTGAAGGGTACCCTCCGCGAGCATGTTTCTATATTCTATATAGGTGCTTTCCCGGGCCATCCGCAGGCCAGTTGCTTCTGGAAACTAAGGAAGGTAAATTCCGCGAGGGAATTCGAGCGCACGGTTTGCTAATAACCGTGCTTGGCAACAAGCACCCGAACGAAATCACAAACTACTATGCGCAAATCAACAGCTTCCGCAGGAACAAACACCTTCCCGAAACCTTCCGTGAACCTTCCGCGGCTGCAGTGCGGCGCTACCTTTTTTGGTGATATGTCATCAAAGAAACTCGTGCAGACATCCATCGCCATGCAAGCACCTTCTCTCATTGCACAGAAGCTTGCAAGGAATGCCGAAATGCATTCATATTCAGCCATTCAACACCAAACAAACCAAGCCTTACTCGACCAGCCATGCCTGTTGTGGCATCCTCTTATCTTCCTGCTTTCAACTTTCAAGCGCTATCTTGTATCATGTCTTCTCTATTTCCTGTCATGCTGCCTCAGGGTGTCCCGTCAGTGTTGTCAGCGAGCCTTGTGGCCTCAGCGAAAATGGATGGCGTGACACTTCAGTACCTTCATCACTGGAAGCAGTCGTCCAACGCCTAGCCCCACCAATCAAGCCACGCAGGCATCCGTCGCCATGCGCACACCCTCTCTCATTGCACAAAAGCTTGCAAACATAAGTCCTGGAACGTTGGAATGCACAGTGCATATTCAGCCATTCATTCTCAAACAAATCCGGCCTTGCTCGACCTGCCATCCCCGTTGTGGCATCATCTTATCTTCTTGCATTCAACTTTCAAAAGCACGATCTTGAATTATGTAAATCTCTCTCTGCTGTCGTGCTGCCTCAGCGAAATGGATTGCGTGACACAGCAAGTATCTTCATCACCGGGAGCAACCCTCCAACAACTAGCCACAACAATCAGCCATGTATACGCACTCTCCACGCATACACCTTCTCTCATTGCACAAACGCTTGCAAGCATGAGTAGTGGTATGTTGGATGCACCCACACGCACCAAACCCATCAGGCGTTGCTCAACCAACCAACCCTGTTGCATCCGCTTGTCATCTTGGTTTAAACTTTCAAGCACCCTATTCTACGATCTTCTTCTCTATCTGCTGTTGTGCTGCCTCAAAGTGTCCCGATAGTGCTGTGAGCAAGCCTTGTGGCCTCAGCAAAAATTGATGGCATGACACGGGGAGCAGCCGTCCAACAACTGGCCACAACAATCAAGCCATGCAAGCTTCCTCGACACGCATACAGCCGCATACACCTTCTCTCATTGCACAACAGCTTGCAAGCATGAGACCCCGCACTGTCATAGACGAAAACCTGAATGATACCTGCTGTGCTGTCTCAGAGTGTCCAGTGTTTCGTTAGTGTTGTTAGAGAGCCTTGACACTTCTGTATCCTCACCACCAGGAGCCGCTGTCCAACAAGCAAAACACCAGTGCCGATTGTGCACGTTTCGCTGTATGCCAAAGGAACACCGAACTTTGTTTTCACTGGCCATTGGCATATGCGGCATCCCGAAACTCGCAACTGGCGGCTGGCTGCGTTGAAGGCGCTTGTACACGGTGCTGCCTTCCGTGATGACCTTCAAATAGCGCTCAAACCTGGCGTCATTTGACTCCCATGCCTGATGGGGGCAGGTCTGCTTTGCTAGACAGGTTGTGGGTATTGGTGGCACTGTGTTTTTGCGCACCGAGGCCATGTCGTGGCTGCAAAAGGCCGGCCTTTTTGCATCAAAATGCAATCGAGGAATAAGAACCCCGTTCATGAAATTGGACGATTCGAGCGTTTTGTATGCCAAGAGCCTGGTCTTGGTCTCTGCGATATTCTGGGCCAAAGCATCGGTCCACCTTGGCCGCAACCAAATGGGGCTGGGGAGCCATTTGAGCTGGCAAACGAAAAGCGCAGAAGGAAATGGCAAGTTGCCACAAAAGATAAAGCAACAACGATAGGCCTTTGGGGAGTGGGCGAAAGCAGCAGTGCAGCTGGAGAGTGAGGATTCTTGAACCAGTTTGGGGTCGTCAACGCCATGATCCGCGGTCAGAGGTTGGCATCTCGGTTGTGCCAAAGCCCGTTCGACCGCGCTCAACAACAACAGTTTTCTTTGGGTTGATTTTAAACCATCCCGAAGCGGTAGCAAAAAACTTTGGATAACGCCAGAGCACTGTTTGATTGTCTGGAGAGAGCTTCAAAAAAGGATAGTACCACATAATTCACTTGGCATCTGATTCAGCCATCCCTGGGATGGAATCGCAATCAACCATGCATCATCATGAATTACATCTGTCAGGGGCATGAAGGTCCCCACGATACTTCTGCATCAACAACATGTGTTGAAGCCCTGTACAGTACAGGAAAGGGTTGAAGTTCACAGATTTGGCCACACAACTTGTGGTCGCTCGGGGAAAAAGGATATGTAGGAATGCCTTCTGGAACCTTCCTGATGCTGCGTGCGCCGAACAGGGGTCACAGCAAGAGTTCGAAATCCGAGGCTCCGACTCCTTAATCTCCTCCTCAGAGCCGTGAAAGAAGTACTTGCCCTGCGCTCAGAACGGTCCCGAGGAATTGGAGCCATAGCCTCTTGGGAACAACCCTCAGAGTCCTTTTTGGTGCAGGGAGTCTGGGAGACAGAAACGAGCCAATCCTCCCCCCCTAGCCGTTGGGATAAGAAGAGCAATGCTTCATTAGATGGATGTGTGTCCTTTTGTAGGGAGCCCCATTTTGTGGTTCGTGTTAGTGGGAAACCAAAACCGACAGTTTTGGGGTTCCCTCATTTTAGGACAAGCCCAGACGACCAAAAAACCACTGGCTTTTTCCGCGGCCTCGCACGGCACTCGGGTCTGGAGCTGCAGACCTCAGCTGACACGCGCTGAACGCTGAATGCAGCGTCCTTTGTTGACACCCTCAAATGGAGCTGGTTCAAAGGGAAGCCAACAGGAAATCGTTGCCATTTTGGAGATTCCGCGTATTTTGAGAAAACCTGTCTCCTGATGCAATAACGTAAGGACTGTGAGTCCTGGTGCTGGTGTGCTGGCATTCTACTTGGCCAGAATGCAAAGTGGAACAACAACAAAGCAATACTGAGGGCAGTCCCAAGCTCCAAGAACGCTCGAAAACCCAAACCAAGAGCCAAAGTATGTGTTGCAATACCCATGCTGTGCCATCTCTGATTACAAGGAGCTTCTTCATCGCCCATCAAATATATTTTGCGGGTTGAGTAGATTTGAATAGGAAACAATAGCATTTTCGGGTTGTGAAAATTTGTCCTCACTTGGTTGACTTGTGAACTACTCTGCTCTACCACAGGAAAGTGTCGATGCTTCGATGGGTCGCAGCAATAATTACCCGACCCGAAGATGCCGAGGGGTGACGAGGGCCCGGCCCGGGCCCCTTCCGGTGGTGACCGGTGCCCTCTCCCCGCCGTTTCGAAGCGAAACGAGCGCCGGGCACTGCGGGTCCAGCGCCACCGCCTCCGCCCGCAGGAGCTGCACCGAGTGCTCCGCCTGAGCTCGGGTCAATACCCGTTGTCCAAGCGGTCTTCTCAAAAGTTTGCAGAACCGAATGGCTGAATTTGCTTGAGGCCACGGAACCCGTGTCGGAATCGCATCTGACTCGCCAAGTCAACATGCGGGGCTGTTTGGTGCTCCGGAAAAACGCGCGAGATCGTTCTCCAGATACCCCCAAAATGCCAAATTGGTATCGCCATCTTTGCAGACCCAAGGTGGCAAAGTGCAAAAACTTTTGGGCAGACTGATTGGCAACCAGGACTGCCAACAGAACCTCACTGGTTTAAACTTGGGGGCAGGCATCGACAAAAATGCTGAAGTGGCTTTAAAAAACATGATACCAAAAAGCTCGAAGGAAGGTTCCAGCGAGACGCTGTCCTTAAAAAGAAAAAAAAAACTGGGGATCCCTGTGGCGAAAAAGGTGTGCAGGACATACAAAGCCAACCTATATGCTTGTAGAGGAGTCTCCTTTCAAAGTTTCAATGTCAGCTTAGGCTGGGAGGATTCAGACCTCAAGTCTTTTGAGGCAGCGATCTCAGGCCAGAGAGGCTGCTTGTTTCTCTGCCGAAAGAAGAGGGGCAAAGTCATAATCACAGCTGGGCCATTGGTGATTCGATTGACAGGATACCGCAAGAGTTTCCAATTTGGTCACAGTAACAGCCATGGCTTGTCAAGAACATGAACGGCAAAACCAGGGATCATCTCCCAAATTGCCACAGGAACCATCAGAGTTGAGCAGCTGGTGCTTGCAAATCTGTTCCACTGCGCTTTCCAGCTCAGCTAGGCTCCTGCCCTACAATTCCCCCCCGTCCAAGGTTGTGTCCGCCGACTTTGGCTTTTCATCAGCTTCCCACCGTTTGGGCTCTTCGCATCCCCCGCTCCCCTGCAGATTAACATGGAACCCAGAAAACCCTCCTTTTTAGAGGAAACTCTTTTGGCGGACCCTTTGTCAGGCTTCCCATCTTACTTTGCAGGAGCATTTTGAGTGCTACGCGCCATCCCCTCGCCTGGCGGCTGCGCTTGCCCTTCTCCGTAGGGAAAATGCCTCGCCCGGAGAGAAAAGCGTCCGCCTTGAGCGGATTCAAATGTGTCTAATGTGGTTTTCTCTGGGGTTCAAACCTAAATAAAAACGGAAAGAAGAATACAAAGAACTCGGAAGGGGCGTGCTGTGTGCTTGTCGATCTAACTCTCAGCTTGGGCTCGACGGTCAATGACACCGGTCCTTGCCGGAGTTGATACCCAGGTTTCGCCGGAACCCGAGGACCCCAGCGCAGCACGCCGGGGCGGAGCACCAAGAACTGTGGCCCGGCCTGTGGCCCGGTTCACGGCTTACAACCAAACCAACAAAATAGCAACTGACGTCTTGGGTGGAAGATGACACAAATCCCCATGGCAAAACATGATCAGAATGTTTGCTACGTGTCTGCCAGACTTGAACACCGCTCGGCAACGGACCAGCATCAAACACCATGCCTATAGTCAACATCCAACAATGCAAACAGGACTTAAATGTCTGGAAAAGCGACTTTGTGACGGCAAAAACACTGCCACAAAATCACTACCTTATCAACCTGCTGCATAGTGACGGTTCTGGATTCATTGTAGCTCAACTAACCACCACTTGTGACAAAAATGGAAGCTGCAAAACAAAGCACCTTCAAAAAAATGGTCGTCCACGGGATTACCCACAACTTCCGAGAGAAACAGTAGCTTTGTGTCGCATCCCGGGAGCTTCCATGCCAGCTCCTCGCTCGCAAACTCTGCCGTGCCTCACTCTGCAGGTGGCCTCGCTTGGCCATTGCCGCAGGGGAGGGCGCAGGCACCTCATCCGAATTCCTTGCAGATCAGCCGTGGTCAGAGGACTCTACAAGCTCGAGGGCAAGCCGTGTAACCAGAGGGCCTTTTGGTTGTCGAATAACAGCAACAACTGCAGTTCAATGCAACCTGTGTTGGTCTAAACACTGCCGTGCCTGCTGAAGTGCTTGAGTAGGTCTTGTTTCGGGGGGTAAACCAGCTGCACCGAATGCAGCAAGCCCAGACCTTGCTAAATCACAATGTCAGCTTTCCGTGCGCGATTTGTCCATGAAGAGTTGCTACCGATGTGGCAAAAAGAAAAGTACTGTGATCTGCCCATCAAACGACCGTGTTGAGCAAAGCAAACAAATGTCCATCAACATGCAACCACGTAAGTCAGCAACTCTGGGTGTTTGGTGTTCTTGCATTCGGAAGCATGCCATGCTCTATGAGTAGGTTAAAATATCCCCGTCTGCATTGTAACCCCAAAATATGTTATTAACTCCAAAGCCAACCTCGAATCGTTTTGTCATAATTATGCAACGTACCAAGCGCCACAAGAAAATGCTGAAGCTCAATCACTGCATTCTAAAAAGGCAATTTAATGGATTCAAGGATCAACTTTAGAGGTTGAAAAAGAAAATGCAGAATCCGTATCTCCCGTATCGCATCCGAGGGGCTTGTCGGAAATCCAAAAAATCGCTGCATCGGCCAGATTTAAAATGAACACGTACAACACTGTTTTGAGTGCAAAACATAATCTAAAAAAATGCGAACGCGCTCGCCGATTCTTTCCTGGCATTGCTCAAAGGTGCGAACTCTGGGATGCAGACAAGCCAACATGCGTGTTCGATTCAATTATGTTTGCTGCATCCCGTGTTTGTTTCTTTTCCCGAAAGCATGGCGAAGGGTTCTTCCGCTGGGTTCACTTCAGTTGTTCTCATGAGAGTCATTACAAGGTGTCATTGCAAGGAATCATCATCAAAAAAGTCATTGCAAGGAGTCATTGCAAGGCGTCATTGCAAGGAGTCATTGCAAGGAGTCACTGCAAGGAGTCATTGCAAGGAGTCATTGCAAGGAGTCATTGCAAGGAGTCATTGCAAGGAGTCATTGCAAGGAGTCATTGCAAGGAGTTATTGCAAGGAGTCATTGCAAGGAGTCATTGCAAGGAGTTATTGCAAGGAGTCATTGCAAGGAGTCATTGCAAGGAGTCATTGCAAGGAGTCATTGCAAGGAGTCGTTGCAAGGAGTCATTGCAAGGAGTCATTGCAAGGAGTCATTGCAAGGAGTCATTGCAAGGAGTCATTGCAAGGAGTCATTGCAAGGAGACAAGGAGTCATTGCAAGGAGTCATTGCAAGGAGTCATTGCAAGGAGTCATTGCAAGGAGTCATTGCAAGGAGTCATTGCAAGGAGTCATTGCAAGGAGTCATTGCAAGGAGTCATTGCAAGGAGTCATTGCAAGGAGTCATTGCAAGGAGTCATTGCAAGGAGTGATTGCAAGTAGTCATTGCAAGGAGTCATTGCAAGGAGTCATGGCAAGGAGTCATTGCAAGGAGTCATGGCAAGGAGTCATGGCAAGGAGTCATGGCAAGGAGTCATTGCAAGGAGTCATTGCAAGGAGTCATTGCAAGGAGTCATTGCAAGGAGTCAAGTGCAAGTTGCAAGTGCAAGCAGCCAAGTGCAAGCTGCAAGTGCAAGGAGTCAAGTGCAAGTTGCAAGTGCATGGAGTCAAGTGCAAGTTGCAAGTGCAAGGGGCCAAGTGCAAGTTGCAAGCG